TGATGAAAACAGATGAAAAGAGACATCAAACAACTAATCTTACTAATCTACTTGAAGGAGATGATCCACAGTCTTCAAATCTTCAGAAATCGTTGAAACCGGAGAAGAAACACCTCCAAAATCGTATTTTCGTCGTCTGGTACCTCTGGAATCGCCAACTTAGGTTACTGGGAGGTTGTTAGGGTCTATTTATACGTCCAGGAGCAAAAACGATGCCCATGCAATCGCATGTATCAAAGCTGCGATCGCAGGTTCTGAAGAAAACGCATTATGGGCCTTTTTAATGAAGTAGGATACCTTTTTGGCACTTTTTGACCAACCTGCGATCGCATGTACACAACCTGCGATCGCAGGTTTTCATCCGGATGAGTTTTTGGCATAAAAAAACCTCGAATCCATGCTGCGACCTAACCTGCGATCGCAAAAAGGCCGCATGTGATCGCATAGAGACAACATGCAATCGCATGTTGTGCCTAAGACGTCCGAAATTTCGTCTACTTTTCAGATCATTTTGAATCGCGTCAATCGGAGTTACGGTTCTCGAGATATGTTCAAAATACTGACAGGGGGTCAAAGCTGTCAGCAACATCCTTTAACTTTAGATTGTAGATTCCATCTTCGTGTGATCAATTCGATCGAATGTTTCCTGACCAACGCATCTTGCAAGCATTCCACAAAATACTCCATAAGTTACAAGCTCCATTTTAAACTCCAAGCGCACATCCAACTGCTCCCAAAGCACTGCTCCACTCGAACTATCTTAAATTGACATAAAAACATGAGCAGTACGGGAATTCTAACGAAAGACATGAGTTGAACATTATTTAACAAATGACATGCAAATGTACAAAATATGATGCTAAAATGATAGTAAAAACTACCCTATAAGATGCATAAATGGCATCTAACATGGACCTTCACGAGACTTCTTAGGAAACGAGTGGACTCGACGAGTCACATGGGCGTACTCGACGAGTCGGGTCAAACATGGACTGTTGACTTTAGGGTTTGGTCAAACATGAGTAATGGAGACCATGGAGGGGTAAAATGGTCTTTTATCCACTTCAAGAGTTAGAGAGAGAAAGAATAGCCTTCGATTTATTAGAGTCGTGAAAAGAGTATTAATTAGAGATATTCACCCTTTGTGTTAGGCGGAGGCTAGTTCGAGATTCGAGTACGAGGTTATTTGCTTACTTGCTTCCGAGGTGAGTCTTCTCACTATACTTACCACGAGTGGTATCTTTGTGTGACCAGAGTGTCTTGTATGCTTATCTTAAGTATTGTGATATCCTGCATTATGTCTTTGTGATTTATGCTGTGTATTATTGTTATGAGCTTATTGAGATAGGACTAGAGGGTCCACCCGAGTTGTGGGACCGGTGGGTCTCCACTGAGACACATTGACCGAAGAGTCTTATTCGCGTTATAGCCTCGAGTGGCTAATGTAATATGTGTGGTATTTTGGGGAACTCACTAAGCTTCGTGCTTACCGTGTTATGTGTTATGTGTTTCAGGTTCTTATCAGGATCGCGAGAAGGCGTCAGTTTGATTGTACACACAAGAGAAAAAGAGTTATGTTTTGAGGATCCTAGATTTGCGATAAACGACTTTTAAAATGTGTTGATAAATTGATACTTGTGATTTTTTTGAAGGAATGTGACATGTGTTTTATTGTGTTTTAAAATGGAAAATTTACGGTGTTACAGTACCAAGCTAATTTGCATGGTTATTCACACCTTGTTTGTGATCCTCGGTATCCCAGTCACAAATGGAAAGGGCATAATCGAGATTATACATGCCATTGAATAGTTCAATGAATCTTTAAAGATCTAGGAATTTCATTTAAAACCTAATTCATTTAAATTTCGTTTTTCATGGTAAAATTGGTAAATCGTCATTTACCTACCTTTAAATAATTTACAATTAGATTACGACATCTCTTGGATAATAAACTAAAGGGCTTTGTAATTCCTTGGGAGACGTCCCATGATGATAATGTATTTGACCAAGTTGACCTAAAGGGTATTTTTGGTATTTTGGGATTTTGATGGTTATTGATCACTTGGATGGATAAGTATTGGTTGGAGCTGAGATTCGGAGTCGGAACCTCATCAACTATGGATCAGATCGAGAGGTGAGTTTTCCTCACTGTACTTACGGGTCGAATGCACCAATGCCCGCCCTTTGGATTGTTATCCTGGTTTATCGAATGTTGGTATGGTGTAGTGATCTGTTAGTTCGGTATCCTGGTAGATAGGATGATGTTATGCTTAGTGATCTGTAATATCTATCTGCTTGTTATTGGCTGGTTCATTGTATGATTATCTGTTATATATATATATTATATATATATATATATATATATATATATATATATATATATATATATGTCGACAAGGTGTATGTGTGGTTGGGTTGAGGCGATCCTGCTTTGTGCTGAAGGCTAACAGACCCAGGGCGTCCCGGATAGACTGAAGGCCAGTGAGGCGTATCAGTCAGGCCAAAGGCCCGAAGAACGTTCCAGATAGGCTGAAGGACCGGTGAGGCGTACCAGTCATGCTGAAGGTTCTATGAGCGTACCAGATAGACTGTAGGTCGGTGGGGCGTTCCAGTCAGAATGAACGCTCTGTGGGTGTACCAGATGGACTGCAGGCCGGTAGGGCGTTCCAGTCATGCTGAAGGCCCTATATGCATGTTGTTTGTTGTTTATGTTATCTGCTCTGTGTTGGTACTTTGGGGGAACTCACTAAGCTTCATGCTTACAATTTTATTTATGGTTTCAGGTTCTTCAGATGATTCGTGGCAAGGCGAAGACGTGACCGTACACATCCTCAGTTTTAGAACAGATTGGATCTTGGGAGACTTTGATTTTGAATCATGTTTTTGAGACAAAGTTTTTGTAAGCACTTTTTTTTAATAAATGGGTTGTTTTGAAAAGTTTAAATTTGTTGAAATTTTGGGGATGTTACATTGGCTTTAAGATTGTCATAGGCATTTTTCAATTGTCTTTGAGTCAAATCAACGCCATACTTTTCCTTAATGGCTATTCCTAACTTGTTACATGAATGTTTGTGCAAACTCAAACCTTTTCTACCCACAATGTGTACTTCTTCAATACAAGTGTGCAATAAGAATTTTATCTGCTCATTGGTCCATATATGTTTATCTCCCATTGCTAATAACAAAAAAAAAAATATGAAATGCATACTTTAGCAAACATAACCTTATAACAACAACTTTCAACATAATAACAACTTCTATTGATTAAACTAACGAATTTCAGCAAAGATTATTCACATTTCAATATGACATTTCAACAACATTTTATAACATTTCTCTCTTTCTAAAAAAAAACATTTTGTGACATTTTAGCAACATTTCATGACATTTCAGCAACAATTCGTGATATTTTCAACAACAATTCATGATATTTCAGGAACATTTTATGACATTCAACATCTATTAATGACATTTCAACAACAATTCATGACATTTCAACAACATTTCAGCAACATTTCAATAATGATTCAACAACATTTCAACACAATATGACATTTAAGCATAAATTTATGACATTTCAGCAGAATAAAAAACATCATCAAAGATTTGATAACATTAGCAATAAGATTCATCAAGAACAAATATATCAACAATGATTCAACAAGAAAATTTGAAAAATTAATATGAAGCAGGAAAGTCGAAGTTGCTCCAGCAACAAAAAACCGAAAAATTCAAGATTAACCATGGCAAAATTATTGCTTCAGCAACAATAAACGAAAAAAAAAACTTACCAAGATGAAAGATCGGCGCCGACGACTGGAAGGAGAGGGCGACCGAGAGGAGATTGCGCCGGAGAGGAGGGAACGCCGATGGGAAGGAAGTTGTGCTGATGAAGGGATGATTGCGGATGCGAGATCGGGGATGACGACAACTAGGGAGAAAAAATGTGGTGCTTTTTTTTAGGGAGGAGTATCCGATTTTTTTTTAGGTTTAGGTTTGAAGAGGCTAGAAGAGGGAACTCAAGTGTTGTCCCAAACAAAACACGCACAAAAGTTTTTTACTTCGAAGCCTACGAAAAAACAAACTGCTGCGGGATAAAAAATGATGCATGTGTGCTGCGTCGCACAACACAAAATGGTTTGAAGAGGTTTTTTATAAAAAAAATCAACACTTAAGTTAATAAATCTTTCTAAACCGTTATACCAAAAGAACTTTTTATCATTATCGTAATCATATTTTTTAGAACAAGAATTTATCTAAAATTAAAAAATTTATAATAATATTTATAATATATCAATTATTTTTAAATTTATAAAAAACATAATAAAAAAAAGCTTAGAGATCAGCAAGGTATCAACTTTTGCACCTCTACTATACTAGTTCGCAACAGTTTTAGACGTTAATAAAAGCTAAACATAAACAAAAAAGAAAAAACACAAACGTTATTATCAAACAACTACATTGTACAAATGTGTAATAAATAGAAAGTTTTAGGAGTATCATATTTACCAAATTACAGTTATAGAAGTTTGTGTGCCCTATTTTAGGAAACTCAGTGTGAATCTTTATACATCAGCAACACAACACAACGCGAAGCCAGCTTTTCTATCCTCCCAAGATCTTGTGAAATCTACTGTTTTTTTCACTAAAAGCCTCCAAAGTCCCATCAATGGCAGCTCACCTCACCTCCACATCAATGTGGTGTAGACTGGTCTGGTAGCCAGCAGTGTCTCTTCTTCTCCATTTCTTATCCAACGAAAATAGCCATAAACATCATTAGATCGATCATCCATTTCTGCGCCATCGATCTCCGTGTGTTTGTGAATCATCTCTTTTGCTTCTGTTTGTGGAGATACATCGACTGTTTATCACTACTGCTATCGTGATAAATACGGAAACCCTAGCAAAAAGTAAAAGAGAAACATCTTGTCCTAGAATTAGATCTTCAAATAATTGTAACCCAAATCGGGAAAACCATTAGTTTCAATAAAAACCCTTCAATGGATCCTTACGCAGAAGTTGAAAGCTCCGATTACAGCATAAACCCTAATATTGTAGCGTCTGCGTCGTCTAGTTCTCCGCCGGCAGCCACAACTCCCAGCCGGTATGAGAACCAGAAACGCCGAGACTGGAATACCTTCTGTCAGTACCTGAAGAATCACCGGCCACCACTCGCGCTTTCTCGATGTAGTGGTGCCAACGTGCTCGAGTTTCTCCGGTATCTTGACCAGTTTGGGAAGACTAAAGTCCACACACCGGTGTGCCCGTTTTACGGGCACCCGAACCCACCTTGCCCTTGCCCTTGTCCTCTTCGTCAGGCGTGGGGAAGCTTGGATGCGTTGATAGGCCGTCTCCGGGCAGCCTACGAAGAGAGCGGTGGGCAACCGGAGATGAACCCTTTTGGTGCTCGAGCTGTTAGACTTTACCTTCGAGAAGTTCGAGATCTACAATCGAAAGCAAGAGGAATCAGCTACGAGAAGAAAAAACGAAAAAGACCTCCACAACAAGAACATCAACAGTTTCCAAACAACTCATCATTTCAAGCTTTTACTCTTCCACCAGGTGATCACACTTGAATTTCGTTCAAGAAAACTCAGATCTTGGAACTTAAAAAGTAACTATTCGTTTCTTTTAGAAGCTTGAATTTGATGTTTTGTGGAGGATGTAATCACCAAAGTAGTACTCTTGCTAGTTGTTACGCTTAGTTTCAGGTTTTATTTCTTTATTTAGCTGCAATCAACTATGAAGAACCCTGTTGTTAATTGGTGATTTTGTTTGATTTTCGCTTTTTTGTTCATCTCAATGAAAACATCTTAGCTGCAGCACAATATCGACTTCTAGTTTGATCAGGAGCTTGCAGTTGTGATCTTGGTAGATGTACTTTTGCAGCAGTAGTATTTATAGATCTCAAACTGGAAGTACTTGTGATCTATTCTTGGTTTCAACCAAGATCATATGTGGACTATCTATAGCTTTTATGTTTTGTCTAGCTTCTTAATTCCTAGCCTTTTTATTTTATATAATTGCTGCCGTTCTACAAAAAGTATATGGACTATCCAACGGCAAGAAATATCGCTCTCTCCCATGAATGATTCGGAATCGTGTAAGTGTTGGATGGAATCGTGTTCATTCAATCTTCTGCAGTCTTGATTGCTAATGTCAACATGAGCAGCATTTGCACGGGCTCTTGTTTATTATGTACACGCTTACATAAATCGTGAAGAAAAAGTGCATAAATATTTTACATGTGTTGGTAGTTATATATGTATATTTTTGGTACATATTAAAAATTAAACATTGTCCATCACATGTTTTTAGGGAAAAGAGCTTTTTTTTTTATAACTAGATTAATGATGCACGTGATAACGTTTACTTTGATCACATATAGTTATGATTTAAATTAAATTAGCTTTGATAACTTAAAAACTGATTGATTCATGGTTTACGTTTATAGGTATATTATGCACTTCAAGTCATGTAGAATTTACAAAGCACACATATTTCTTAGTTTGAGATTTTTTTTTGCTGTACATGGTGGATGATAATTATCAATACGATAAAACTGCCTAATTTCCGAAGGCCCTTTTCGTCGGTTTTCCTTCAGAAACACAATTGACGGAATTCAGATAGAAACAAACAAAAAAAAAATCATGGGTGAATTATCTTGATGGAAATTGTAACATCGTACCAATAAAAAGTTCTTTAATAAATTATAAATACCGACATATATCCGAGAGTCTTGTTTATCTGACTTTTCCGACGAAGCTTATTTTTGTCAAGTCCGATGGAATATCGACGAAATATATTACTAATGAGTATCATTTTTTATAGTTTTTAGTGACAGAGTTACGTATACAAATACAATAAAAGAATTCAAAAAATCAAGTTTTTTTTTCCTACCTAGAATGCAGAAAAATCCAATTGCAATAAATAACTCCTGTTTTGCAAGTTCAACCACTATTAAGCATAAATTTAAAAATTGTCTAGTAAAATATAATTATTAACACAGTGTCTAAACCATAAATTTAATAAACATTAATGCTAATCAATTATGAAAAACAACAAAGATAATAAGCTAGAACAAGTTTGGTGCTTCAAGTTGGATTTGAGTTAGTTGCATCTTTTATTGTGTTCTTGTTCTATTTTCTTTCCTTTTACAACTCTTTAATTTGAATTTACATCTCTGATATCTAAAAAAAATGTTGAAACAAGCATATATATACTCATTAAACAAACAATAATCAGTAAACATAATATATATATATATATATATATATATATATATATATATATATATATATATATATATATATATATATATCCCCAGTCAACCTCCCTTAGTCTCATCCTTTACACCCGGTCCAACCTTGCCCGCTCCTCTTGGCATCTAGGGTTATGTTATGGCTACTTTTTTAGATTCGCCCTGAGTGAGGTTGAAAACCGTTAGCAAGGCTACGAACCCTCTCGAAGGTTTACAGAAGAGTGCCTGCTTCCCAGATCAAGAGTATATATATATATATATATATATATATATATATATATATATATATATATATATATATATATATATATATATCAACATTTTTTATTCATTATAGCAACATAGATTATTTTTAATCCATAATAGCAATATGTTATAATTTGTTTTTTACTAATATCAGAAATATAATGTTATGACTAAGAAATTTTTTTTTTTGAAAAGGGAACTTCCCTAACGAGGGTTTCCGGGTCAGCTTTCGCGCACCGACTAATCCCCCGCTGCAAACATGAGGCTTGTGGTGGCCGATGCGCTAAGTCGCAAAGTGACTAGCGCACCCATCCGAAATTTGTGTTTGAGGATGACAGTGATGACTCTATTTTTGGAGAAGATTCACAGAGCGCGGGTTGAGGCTATAAAAGAGGAGCAGCGGAAGATTGAACATATAGTGGATCAGGTGCCCTATTTTGATTATAATAGCCTGGGATTGTTGACCTTGTATCGGAGAGTTTCAGTTCTGTATCTCGGAGGTGCTAGTCAGTTGACGAGGTGTACAAGTCGAGATTTTCTATTCATCTGGGTGCGACAAAAATGTACAGATACCTCCCACCCGTTTATTGGTAGCCCTGGATGAAGCGGGATGTGGCTTGGTACATGGATAGGTTCTTGACTTGCAGGAAGGTCAAGGTCGAACATCAACGATCCCATTACAAAATGGAGCCATTGGGTGTTCCCGTTTGGAAATGGGAAGAGATCACGATGGACTTCATCACGAAGTTGCCACAGACAACGCGCAGGGGGGTGGTTGATTCGATTTTGGTCATCGTGGATCGATTGACCAAGAGTGCACATTTTATTCCTATTTAGGAGAGCATCTTTGTGGAGAATTTGGCAAATGTTTATATCTGAGAGGTTATGGCACGAAATGGTGTTCCGATATCAATCGTCTTGGATCGGGATGTATGCTTCACTTTCATTTTTTGGAAGAGATTTCATGAGGAGCTGGGTACTTGTCTGCACTTCAGCACGGCTTTGCATCCGCATACCGATGGTCAGAGTGAGCGGACTATCCATACTTTGAAGGATATGCTTGAAGGCAAGTATATTTTTGAAAGCAAAGAACGTTTTGGAAGATCGAATGTTTGGAAAATGTTTTTGAAAATTTTTTGGAATATAGATTCTTTACTTTTGAAATGAGTTTTTGATACTAATGTATGAAAGGTGTAAATCATAGAAAGAAATGACAATAAATGGAAAGTAATGAAAAGAAATGGAAAGTAATGAAGAGAATTGGAAAGAATCTGAAAGGAATGAAATGAATATATTGCTCAAGCCATGATTTCCCCGTAACAGGATATAGAGGAATCTATCGGGGTGGCGCCTCCCCTTCGCGAGATAGATTTCCTAACGGAAATGATGTCTTGGTGGATTGATTCGTTCTTTCCACCGTGGTATAGACTTGGGGATATTGCTTGGCCCTAAGTATAAAAATGGCAAAGGTTCACATCGAAATTAGCCCTAAATGAAAGAAGGAATAGAATGTAAAAATAAATGAATTGTAATGATGTTATGAGTAATGAAATGTTTTGATATGGAATGGAGTGTGGAAAAATGCCTATTTAAAATATGTTTTACAAATATTAAATGTTTTTGATATGGAACGGAATGTGGAAATGCCTAGTTGAAATATGTTTTGCAAATATGAAATGTTTTTGATGAAATTGTGATAAACATTTTGGGTCACAAACCCGCGTAGCTCACAAGACATTATTGTCTTACATATGTCTTTTTAATGCCATGTATTGTAGGTTTTAATTAAGGAGATAAGATGATAGACGGAAGTTGGAATTTAAGAGATAGAGAATCGAGTGGTGCTTGTCAAGCTCCTTATTCGTATTATTGATGTAATTCGTATTTGCTTGCTATGGTTGTATGATGCTTAATGGTTACACCCAAAGTTTTAATTGTAAATGTTTTTATGGGACAAGTTTTATTAAATGTGGGTTAATACTCGAAAGACTTTTATAACCATAGCTCTGAAAAATTTGAAGAAAAATTTGGGGTGTTACAGTTTGGTATCAGAGCCATAGTTTAAGCGAATTAGGATTGGATCATCCCACTCCTAGGCTTAGAATTTGGTTATGGAAAGTTTGATTGAGGCATAGGATTCAAACGCCTTAACATAGGTAGTATCATATGCAATTAATGATGATAAGAATTGCCTTAGTTAAATTCTTATGACACTTTGGATAAGTCTAGATGAAATCATAAAGTGATACATTGAGTGCTTCCATAGTGAGTAATGGAAGTAAGACTAGTATGTGGATAATCTAAACTAGTGGATCAAAACCTTTTAGTGGTGAAGTCAAGGTCATTTAGGTATGATATGGGTATAATAGTATAGGGCCCGTACTTATCTAAACACATGATACATACCTGAACTTAGTGGAACCATGAAAGGGTTTTGTGAAATATGGTAAAGATTCGAGTGAGTTAAAGACTTAATGAACACATATCGTGTGTCAAATAAGAGTTATAAAGTATATTAAAGTATGTTGATGGGTAAGGGAAAAAATTTGACATCTTTGACTTTTCTAGGAAAGTCAAACAACTAGTATAAAATGAAAATTACTTGGTGTATATTTGATACATGATGGAAATTGAGCTTGTATCCATTAATTACTATTGGAAGTGAGTTAGAAAAACTAAGGAAAGAAACAACTTGAGTTATTAAATTTGTTAACAAACAATTAGCTAAAAAGGGACATAGATGACTTTTGGTAAAAGTATAAAATGGGACAAGAATTGGAATTCCAAATCTATGATTAAAAAATTAATTGGTGTTGGTAATTGGAGACGATCTTATGTTACTACATAAGAGTGATAACTTCAAATTACAAGAAAGTTGAGTGAGAAAAGAATGGAATGGAATGAACTCCATATTTAGATGAAAGTAAATATTCGGATGCGATTAACAACAAACGTGAGCATAATGGCCTAATTAGAGAAATGGTGATATGATGATTGAATAGAGATAGTACTAGAAAGTGCAACTATGAAAACTTAGGAATAAGTATGATTTTGTTGACACAATGAGAT